CGCACCACCGCCGTAGTCTTGCCGCACCACCGCCGGACCGCCAAGGGACGCCGGAGTGCTGCCACACCATCGTCGTAGTCTTGCCGCACCACCGCCGGACCGCCAAGGGACGCCGGAGTGCTGCCACACCATCGCCGTAGTCTTGCCGCACCACCGCCGGACCACCAAGGGACGCCGGAGTGCTACCGCACCACCGTCGGACCACCAAGGGACGCCGGAGTGCTTCCACACCACCGTCGTAGTTCTGCCGCACCACCGACGGACCACAAGGGGACGCCGAAGTGCCATCCGAAGCTGAAGTACCCCCTGACACTGAAGTGCCACTGCCGATCCACCGCCTGACACCGGAGTGCCGTCGAACCACCTTCTGACAGTGTAACGTTGGACTTTTGAAAAACTCTCAGTTGATTTGTAATCTGGTCGTCTTCAAGGACAAGTCAGACCATTGTACTTTTCTCAAATTTTAGTGGAATCATTTTCAACTGGGCTAGGCTCCGTGGTTTTTTACCTTTCTGGGTTTTCCACGTAAAAAATATTATGTTCTCTGTGTGAGAGCTGGATATCCGTGCAACGCTAAGACGTAGAATTATAACTCTATCGCCGCGTATATTCTAGCCCGCAATAAGCATATACGTGAAAAGATTGGAGTAGCTCCAATGGAAGATAAGATTAGATAGAGTCGCCTTAGATGGTTTGGTCACATAAAATGGCGGCCTTCCGATGACCCGGTTAAGAAAGTAAAGGTATTAGATTTGACTTATGTTAAGAAAGGTAGAGGTAGACCTAAAAAGACTTGGTTAGAAAATATTAGAAATGATCTTTCTTTATTAGATTTAAACAAGAATTTGACTTTTAACATAACACAATAGAGAAAAAGGATTCATGTAGCCGACCCAACATAATGGGACAAAGGCTTGATGTTGTTGTTGTTGTGGTATGTTGCACCCCTCTTCCAAATTTTACTAAATACTCTTTTTTATCTGATTTCTTTGTTGCCGGATGCTTAGATCCAACAACAGCGCTAATCTTATTAATACTTCATATGGTGGAGAAATGATACAACCATACATCAAATAATGTCAAAAGCTTACTTCTATCATCAAGATAGCACTGTCAGTTCCTGCAAGCATCAGATCAAGCTCTGAAGACTCCATCTCATTGGTAGTTGGGTTAACAACAAACTTATCACCAATCAAACCCATTCGAACCCCTGCAACTATTTTTGTGTTTGGAACTTCTGAGAGGGCTCTGCAAATAAATACATTATGTATGGTTTTATAAAAGAAATGATCTAAGAGTAAATTTTAAGTAAACCTACACTGCTATGCCTGCTGCTGTAACAGCCAAACAATCCGGCGAATGAATGCCATCATAGCTGTAAACCTACTAGAACAATGAATATATTTAGTGTTGAGAAAAATGGCAGATAAGCATAAATAATATGACATGCAGCACGAATTTATTTGTGGTGCCAAGAATCAAAGATCTACTATACAGTAATAATGTCTTTTCAGTATGCAAACATCATATCACACTTTTTAAGCCATAGGCAGCATACCAGATGAATGGAGGAGCAGTTCATAAATATTAATAGCCATCATCTTAAACCATCAAAAAATTTCAAGAATCCAACTCATTAAAGCTGTTTTTTGAGCTCCTCCTAAAATGTGAGGGAAAGAAGACCCATCTCACAACAAGCTTCACAATAATGAACTCAATTTGCGTATATTCTAATGATGAGATTTTTTCAGATATTTTTTCACGCTAACATGGCATTAAATATATCAAAACAATGTTCGCAATGTGCTCTTCAATGCTCAATGCAACTGGACAGCTCACTTGAAGACCATCTTAACGGGAATTGATTGCTGAAAAGACAGATAGCATGGGCTATAACAATGTCAATGTCATTTTTCAAGTTATCTTAGCAACATATTTTTCAACCGCAGCAGTTCATAATAAGATTAAGCAAAGATTGGATATCTTTCCATGTACATAAAGCATGGCCTATTTTTATATGAGCATTGTCATGCATATTCAAGTTTCCAAGCAACGAAACAAGATATCAAAGGGTGGAAAAATCTTCATAAGACCCTCTAATCTTTTCTTTCCAGATCTTAGGAAGTAGCTGGGTATATCTTTCATTGATAGATGGCCTAACCAGCAGGTACTCACTCAGCATTTAAAAACAATTTTAAGTTTTAAATTTTTAATATACAAGCAAACCAAATCAGAAGCACATATATATATCCAAAAACTGTAAAATCATGAAGAAACTTTTATTATAGCATAAACAACAAGCATCGTTGAAGGCATGTCAAACATTAAAAGGGGTTTTCACTATCACAAAACTGCAATGTGCTCTTCAATGCTCAATGCAACTGGACAGCTCACTTGAAGACCATCTTAACGGGAATTGATGGCTGAAAAGACAGATAGCATGGGCTATAACAATGTCAATGTCATTTTTCAAGTTATCTTAGCAACATATTTTTCAACCGCAGCAGTTCATAATAAGATTAAGCAAAGATTGGATATCTTTCCATGTACAGAAAGCATGGCCTATTTTTATATGAGCATTGTCATGCATATTCAAGTTTCCAAGCAACGAAACAAGATATCAAAGGGTGGAAAAATCTTCATAAGACCCTCTAATCTTTTCTTTCCAGATCTTAGGAAGTAGCTGGGTATATCTTTCATTGATAGATGGCCTAAACAGCAGGTACTCACTCAGCATTTAAAAACAATTTTTAGTTTTAAATTTTTAATATACAAGCAAACCAAATCAGAAGCATATATATATATATCCAAAAACTGTAAAATCATGAAGAAACTTTTTTTATAGCATAAACAACAAGCATCGTTGAAGGCATGTCAAACATTAAAAGGGGTTTTCATTACCACAAAACGGCAAATTTGGTTGTAAGAGTATTTGTGATTCATCGAACAAGAAATCAATTCACAAAACAAATGAAAACTTGATCCACAAGCAGTTTGATGTGTCTTTATTAGTTAATCTCCTACATAAAAAAGATACAAATGTTAAAACCCCACAAGAATGATGTATATGTTCGCTGATGTAACTTTCAATGAGAACCCTATCTTATTATTGCATACCCTTAGGAAGAAATACCATTCATAAATGACAAAAATATATATTTCCCTTCTAGATTGTCTTTCCTTGCCACAAGTTCCAGCAAGTAAATCAATCCCAACATACACTGTTCTTAACCAAACTGAGCCAACAAGCAACTAAATACCCAAATCAACTACTCCTACCTAAATCCCTTATAAATATATAGGTAAGTTGGGATGCAAGCATGTCAAGAGCTCCATGAAATTCAGTCATAAACTTAGAGATGTTCCAAAATACAATGGTAGAAACAAGCTCTTATCAAAGACTTATGGGTAGACTTATTTACTTACCATATATTAAATCCAAAGTTTCCCAAGTTGTAAGTTTTGTGAGTTAATGCATGCACAATCCTAAAGAATCACATCTTAGGGCAATATACATAAAACTAAAATACTTGAAGGTAATCCCAGGCAAAAAAATTCTACTTAAAGGTGAGATGATTTGACACTTGAAGCATGCATGGATGAAGATCTTGCAAGTTTCATAGTTGACGAGAGGTCAACTTTACGATAATGCATATTCCTAGGAGGCAACCAAATGATTAGAGAGTAAAAAAATAAAATGTAGTACTAAGATCTAATGCAGAAGCCAAATTTAGACCTATGGCACTAAAAATCTGTAAATTACTACGGCTTAAAATTATCCTGAAAAATTTTAAAGGTTAAATAAAAAGGCACAATGAGGCTCTGTTGTGATGAAAAGCAACCATTGATACTCCACATAATCCCGTGCATCATGATTATCTATAATATATTGAAGATGCTTGACATTTTATTAAGAAGAAGACTGATATTGGTCTAATCTATACTTTATTCATAACCACAAATGAATAAAGGATTATTAGAGGTGGCCTTTCAAAAATTATAATGCAAGCATGGAAAAGATCAAATACATTCATTCGTATGAGGGAAAGTATGAAACACTCTAGTCCTCCATCTAGACTTCTACACTTAACCAGAACTACACCTCCTACACCACCATCTTCCATGCAAATGCACTAGTTAGCATCTACTAAGCTTCCACTATCCAGGACCTACTAGCACCTCCCTTCCTCTCTACTACCACCTCATGGATCCATAAGATCCATGCTATGTTGCCTACTCACCACATTGTAGGATTATATCAACAACAACAACAAGCCTTTCTCCCACTATGTGGGGTCGGCTATATGAATCTTTTTTCTCCATTGTGCGCAGTTAAAAGTTAAATTCTCATTTGAATCTAATAAAGAAAGGTCATTTCTAATATTTCTAATCAAGTCTTTTTAGGTCTAACTTTCTAATCACACACACGCACACACGCACACACGCGCGCGCACACACACACATAACTATTCTTCAATTCTCGTGAAAATGCATAAAATATTTTGCATTTGATGGGTTGGCATTTTTTTTGAAACACGTGCATTTTTTGTAGTGGCTTAATTTGAATTGAATTTTAACATGTCAAGCAATTCCATCTTGTTTAGGTTCAATTTCTTAGTAGTAGTTCATGGCATCCACTATGTGGGTTATGTGATTCCATTTTTATTCATCTTTGCTCTATTTAGACGAGATACAACATTTTAGGTGTTTATTTCACACTTCCATTCTTTTCACTTTTGCTATCATCATTTTTGTCCCAAAAGTGTTTTTGTTTAACCTTTCAGGTATTTCAAATAGATTTCAACAACTTATGTGATAGCATGCTAGGCCTTCCCACCTAGCCAAAAAAAGGCATGCATAGCTTTGTACATGACACCACAATCAAAAATTTTTATCACTACCTCATCAAGAAAAATGTGTACGGGTGAAACGCCTAAACAAGCCATTGTCCCATCTACTACCAAAAAATGTGTGTATAGAGACTCTAGTGGGATCTTGCATTAAAAAAATACTGAACAGGGAAAAAAAATAAAACACCATATTACGTCATGAAAGGCTCATATGGGGGAGTACACAATGTGGAAAGGCTGCTTTATATAACTCGCATGAGTTTGGTAGTGTAAGTCGGTCACACTGTTAATGGGCCAAGAGAAAAAAGGAGCGGGTGTATGGAGATTAAAGGAAACCAGGTGCTAAAAAAGTTCTCTTGTTTTAGGCATATTACTCCTGTTACAAAGCAAATATGATGAAGGTTGAAGAGGATATCAAAATTAAAAATGATAACTTGAACCCATTGATTCTCTGAAAGACAATGCCCACAAATATATTAACATTTTCACAAAACTCTTTATGAATTTTCATATATTGCACTTTTAAGCTCTACAGAATTTATCTTGTGCTTCCAGAATTTTTAAACCCTGAAGGAATATCCCTGTTCCTTGGCTACTATAACTTCAGACATTGATGTAATCAAAAATTTGGGAAGGGACCCAAATTTTTTATCACAAAAAACAAACACTTCCTATATAAAAGGAATATAGAAAATGCTAAAGAAATACACCAAATTCTCAAAAAGATACAAAATAAGAAACAAAGACACTTTTATAATATTATAAAATGACACTTACAACTCTTGAACACAAACACCTTACAGATACTTTACTAACTTGGACACAAACAAACCTAAAGGAGCTTCATTCCATTAGAAGAAGGATACAGGTGGGTGGCACTTGCGTAGAGAAGAAAGGGATTAGAAGCAAAGACGATGGATAGGAGTAACTCGCAAGTTATCCCAAGATAGAGAAGAAGAAGAAGTGGACAAAGCTTTCAAGCTTTTCCAAAAACCCTCAGGTTTTCTTACTCCAAAAATTGCAAGAAAAGGGGAGGAGAAGAGGCAAGTCTACTACAAAATGAATTCAAGACTTAATAGCAAACCTTTTGGGATTAATGAGCTAGGAAGTGCAATAAATCTCCCATTTAATGAACTAAAAAACAGATCAAAGTATTAATGAGCTAGAGAAGTCAAAACCAATTTTTAGGATTTGATTTGACCCCCCTGCCTACATCAGACTCCCCTACTTGAAAAACTTATCTCCCGATGAGTTGCCTTTTGCATTCTTCCGAGGAGGCGAAGACGGTGCATCCAATTCTTGAATTTTTTCTTCATACCTTTTTAAAATTTCTTCTCGTTCTTGCATAAACTAATCTTGTAAAAGTTGTTTCTTCTTCATGTACCGCTCCGTACACAAATGCATCCATGACTGAAGTTTGTATAGCTCATATTGCAGGGGATTTGTTGAGTCTGACGGAATCCATCTATCCATCGAAAGAGGGACTTCAGGATCGTCTGGCTTGCTTTCATTTTTGATTGAATCGATCTTTTTGTCTTTTTCCATTTTTCTAAAAATACAAAACAAAAATTACATGACACTACAGACTTACACGACAATTACTATGACTCGCCAAGACTTTACTCGACAAACCAAGGATAAGAATTTGCTCTGATACCAAATTGATGTAATCAAAAATTTGTGAAGGGACCCAAATTACCCGCGCAGCCAGCACATAACCGAGGAGTCAGCCCCACGAACCAAAGGGGCCAGCACGAAACCAAGCAGCAAAACCGCAAAATCGAACAGCCACCCGCAGGAACCAAGAGGACATAGCCATGGGAAAACCAACAGCCGAAAACCAACAGCAATTCTCGGAAACCCAAGGGACAGAGCACGGAAATCACCCAGCACAGGAAACCGAATAGACAAAAGCGGAGGAGAAGAGGCAAGTCTACTACAAAATGAATTCAAGACTTAATAGCAAACCTTTTGGAATTAATGAGCTAGGAAGTGCAATAAATCTCTCATTTAAAGAACTAAAAAACAGCTCAAAGTATTAATGAGCTAGAGAAGTCAAAACTAATTTTTAGGATTTGATTTGACCCCCCCTGCCTACATCAGACATATTACCGCTTCACTGGTAATTGATTAAACTCCTAAAAATGCTTCATTTTATCAGCTCATATATTATTTAAGAACATCTATATCATCTCAACCCCTATAACAAAAGACGTATATGCTGTATCGGATGAGAATGGTGGTAAAATATAAGCCAAAATCTTCATAAAAATGCATACATACCGTGCAATAAAGCATACAGCATAGAGGCATACCCATGATAGAATCTGAGTTTCATGGTAGAAACCTTTTGGCATTGTCGGACGCAATGGTCTATCTATCAGTCTGCAAATAAGAACCTGCAAGTACCATCCAAATAACTTAGTTTGCAGCATTTAAAAGAAGGGACAGCAAACTATTCAAGGCAATATTGTGTGGATTCTTGTTCTTCGACTTTTCTCATCTTTAATCCCCTAGTCTTACTAAAAATGTGTTTTCACCTCTTAAATTTATTTGTTTTGGGAATGTCAACAAATTAAATAGGCAGTTCAACTTGCTTAGAGACAACCCGCCACAAAACACATATAAGGAAACAAAAGTTAAGAAAGGGTTTCAGTTTAATGATAGCATTTAACTAGTGTCCAAACTAACAGATGTTCAGGATACAACCTGGTCCTAGACAGCACAAAGGCATTTTAGCTTGCAAAGGCAGAACACATTCTGGAAAGTTGTTATGATTTAGTCATTAGATCCAACACTTAAAATATCATAATAGTACAAATAAAGAAATTCCAAGTCATCCAGTAGATCTAAATAAACAAGAAATGAGAATCTTCCGATAGCATAGGGTATATTATATTACATCAAATATTCCTGAGAATCGTCCCACGGTATGCAACATCAACTCAAGCTACCCAAATCTTAAAATAATTTCATTTTCTTCAACATATAACAACAACATAACAAGCGTGAGTGTGATTATATGTTGGCTATGGACTTCTAAGTAACAGAATGTACGCAGAATGATATATATATATATATATATATATATATATATATAAGGAAAACAATAAAAATGATCCTTTAACTTTTTTATGAAAGATCAAAATGATCCCCAACCATATTCAAGGACCATTTTGATCGCTCAAGTCCTTAAAAAGGTATAAAAATAATCCCATGGTCGAACTATTTTAGTTCATCTTTAAGCATGCACGCACGCACGCGCGCGCACACACGTACTTCTCATCACTCACAGCATCTACTGGCAAGATGGAGGTTATGATATTCTCTAATGTTGAGAGTACTTATTCAATATCCCATATCATTTATAAGTTCGTCTCTTTTCTTTATTTTTCTTCTTCAACATCTTTTCATCATTAAAAAAATGCCACGAGCATGTGAAGGTGGCTACTGTTGTTTGGTTAGAAGATTTCTAAAATGTACATAAATTTTTGAATCATAAATTTGAATGTGCAATTAAATTGACTGGAACATTAGTAACAAAACAGTGAATTTGCACAGACACCAAAACTATATCACTTCATCAAAAAAAATATTATACCTCATGATCTTTCGCTCTGCCCTCCCGTTTAAAAAATCCACCGCTGAAACCAAACAATTAATCAGCATTGTGAGAAAACAAAAATAAAAAAATATGAGCGAGTTTTAAGGCACAAAGGAAGCATAAGATTGAAAGAACCATGCAATCCAAACCTAGTTCGGCCTGCAGCTGAAAGTCTCTCTTGATAGAAAACTGACAATGGGAAGAAATCACAAGGCTCGCTAGGCACGTCAGCTAAACAAACAGAAGTATAAACTATCTACAAAGAACATTAAAAAAAGTGATTAGACTATGATGAGACTGTCAATCTGGATAGCTGAACAGAAAATGGTTAGGAATGTGTTACTTAGCAATAACGACAGAACGTATAACTGCAGATACCATCTATTTGACAACGTTAAGGTAATAGCAGTAATTCCTAAAAGGGTAAAAGAACGGGCTTATGAATCATTGACAAAGCCATTCCAACGTAAGAAAAGCTGGGATATTATTGGATGGATTCGACAAAAATGGGCACTCCCAGCATGAAATTATATCATCATCTTACATTGTCTTATCAATTAGATATTTGAATAAAAGTGATAAGATTGTAGAGTAAGCATCACTTCACCTCACGTTAAGGGAAACCAGTATATTCAAGTCTATATTTATGCACATAAATATAGCATTAAATAGTTAAACCTAAGATAAGGACAACAGTTACTGCCCTTGCCAATGGACCAAAAGACACATCGTCAATGTCCACTAGCAGCAATATTTGGCATAGGATGGAAATTTAAACTGTCAATCTGTCATTAAAAAGAGTTCCAAAGAATGCAGATCTAAAGCATATTCACAAACTTCTATATGATTGTTGTTGGGATAATAGGCCCTATATGGCAAATGCATACTCCCAATATTCACATACTTGTAAATGCATGTTGTTGGGATTATAATTCTGTATCTAAGATCAAGTGTTTCTAAACTTAGACATAACTATATTCCAGTAAGTCCAAAAAAATACTCATTTGTACAGATAAATGAGTTTTAATTTGTTTTCATTACTAATATCCATTTTTGTACAAAGAAAAACCTCCAAAGCATGCTCAGAAGGTAAATTTAAAGCTTTATGTAGAAATATAAATTAACATTAACTTTATGAATGTATGTATCGCAAAATCTAAGACACAATTATAAGATGCTTTTTAGAATTGAGAGCACTAGGTTATGGAATTTTGATAAAACTCACAAACAATTATTCATTTCCACCAAGATGAATCCTCCAACAAAATACAAATGAATCCCTTTGACAATCACGACACCTTCATCATTCAGACCTTGTTACATTGGAATTTGTTAACCTAAGGCAATGTACATTCAAGTGAATCTGTCCAATGACACTTTTCATACATCTTCTCCTCCAAATTTTTGGCCTCATATGCAATAGATTCACCACTACCTTCTCTAGGGTTCCTTATCCCAATAAATATGTTAGGTTAGAGTGCAAAAGACTGTATAGTTTCCCAATTGAATAGGTAAAACTTCACCATGTTTGCTTGCAGTAATACTAATGGTGGATTAGTGGAACTTACAAGAATCAGGTGATCTAAGAGTGAACAACATCTTTCGGTGGTGAAATCTGTAAATTGTAAAGAGGTAGTAAATGTGTAATTTCCTCTTAATCAGGCTTCGTTTGGTTATTTTGTAACTTTCCTAAAAGTTAGTTTTAAAATTGTTGTTTGAGAGAACGGAGTTTCTAACGGAGAAGTTAATATCAAAAAGCTTTGAAAACAGTAGAAAAACAACAGTATTTAGAACGTGTTTAAGAAAAGTAGTTTTATCAAACAAATAAATTTTTTCTATTTTACCGTTGCGAGATGGAAGCTGTAAAAACGGACAAACAAACGAGCCCTCAATAAAAATCACTCAACTTTAAGCACTCAGAAAATTCGACTAAGTTATAACTATTATCATTTCCAGAAAGGGTGATCACTTTATGTTTACTCACCGCTAAAGTAGATGATGTTGATCATAATGGAATATAAGATCACCTCTAAAAATAAATTCCAAGTTAAAGGTTGCTTTATATATTTCTACCTCCATGCAAAGTTCAAATACTTCAGACAACCCCAAAGAAAAGGAATATGGAATATTAATTTTTCAGGCTTACGCATCTACGTGGATACAGGAATTACAATGCAGCATAAGAACAAAACTTACAGTTTCACCATCAGTAACCGTCACAGAAGCACTAGCTTGCCTACCAATATGACCAGTTTCAACCAAGATCTGCAGTAAAAGGAAGAGCAACAATGAAAATTAAAGTTCCGTAAACACAGCTTGAATAAAAAATAAATCTCCAGTTTTTCATCTCAGTTGATTAAAACAGAGCAGAAAATTAAAGAGATGCCTCAAAGGTACAATGTGAGGACGAGCGGGAGAAAGAGAAAGAAAAAGTTACGAAGTTTACAACTTTTGTAAAGCGGATTAATTTCTTGTAGCTCGGTGTGCTTAAATCGACTAATGAACAAGGGAAAGAGGTAAAACATGGGCATCAGATGCAGCAACTAAACTTAGATTCCATAATAAAACCAACCAACGAAACAAATTTAAAAAAAAAACAATAGTACGTAAGGAAATGAGGATTCATGAAGGACAATCTCACATGCCGGTCGCCCACGGGTATCTTGATCGAGTGCTTCAGCGGCGCAGAAGAGCTCTCTTCCTCGACGTTCTCCGTGACTTCCGACGACTCCGCAACTCTTAGTAAAGTTCTCCTCGCGCTCAGAGAGTGGAGATAAAAACGATTCCAGCGCGGACGCTCCGCACTCTCACTTAGGAGAGTGCCGCGGCATGAAAAGGGTAGAGATAGGGTTCGCGTTCTGAGAAAGAACAAGGGTGGCGAAGGCAATGAAGGAAGAGTTCCGCCATGAAGCATACAGCTTGCTAGCATTTCGATGCCTAATCTTCCCCGCCGTCTGCTGCTCGCTCACTCTCCCCGAATGCAGAAAGGGCTTCTGGACTTCGGAGAAGGAGCGGGCTTTATCCGTTGAGCGGGGGAATTTTTATAAAGGTTTTTTTTTTTTTTTTTGTTCTTAGCTTGGTTGGAGGACGGCCAAATGGCCACTGAATACTGAATAATATGGGAAGAAAAAAATTAAAATAAAAAGAGGGGGGAGGTATTTACATATATACCATTTTATTTCAGATTATTTTTATATTTATCATTTAAAATATTAATATATATCTACTGATATAAAAAACAGCTGAAATGAAATATTAATATATACTTACCACTCAAAATATTAATATATATCTACCACCAATAAAAATCAAAAATTTCTAAAATATTATTTCCTTTGAGATAACTTTTTTATTGCTTTCTAAAATAAATTTTTAATATAAAAATTTCTTGTATTAGAATTTTTTGTATTAAAAAACTATTTTAAAAAACAGTATAAAAGTTGTCCAAAATAAAACCTATATATATGTGTATGTGTGCTATGTGTGTGCATATACTTGTTTAAATAATATGAAACCTATATAATATAATAAAAATTTCGGGTTTGGGTTGACCCGAACCCGAAACGGGTCGGGTTCGGGTTCAATAATTCGACCTGTTTCAAAAATCGGGTCGGGTTCTGGTTGACCCGTCGATCCGAAATTGACCCAAAAATGACCCATTTTTTGACCCAATAACCCATTTTTGACACGGGAACCCGAAAAAAAGAGTTTGACCCGTTTTGGACCCGAAAACTAACAGTTTTTTTGTTCGAATCAGATCATTCGGGTCGGGTCGGGTTGACCCGGACCCAAAGCGGGTCGGTTCGGGTCTGGAAAACCGACTCGTTTACAGAAACGGGACGGGTTCGGGTTGACCCGAATAGTACCGGGTCAGTTTCGGATTCGACCCGTGACCCGAAATTGACACCACTAATAATATATTTTATCATTATATACAGCTAAAAAATACACAGTTTGAGAACAATGAAGAAGAAGTAAAGATAAGCTCGTGTATTATGCTACAGGAAAACAAATACAAGCATATATAATAGTAGTTCAGTGCAATCTTCAACGCATCAGAAGGTTTATTAAACATACAAGATGAGAGCCAATGAGCCAAATTAATAGCTCTGAAAAGCTGTAGGATATGGCAGAGGAGTTGAGCAGCATTTTCTATTAAGCTGAGAGTGACATATCTTCATTAGAGGTGGTGGAATATACTTTGTCATTAGCAGGCCCCCGCAAATTGATCTTCCAAGGTTGAAGAGTCAAATTGTCTCTAAGATACTAAAATTTGGTGGTTGAAAGAGGCTTGGTTAGAATGTCAGCTATCTGATCATTTGTAGATGCATAATGTATAATAACAGTTTTGGGCTTTAATGCATTCTCTAATAAAATGTTGATCTATTTCGATGTGTTTTGTTGTGGCATGTAAAACTGGATTGTGAGCTAGAGATGTTGCATATATATTATCACAATATATAGGAATTGGAGCAGTGATATCACGCCGAAAATATTTTAGTATGTGTAACAAAATAAGTTTGATGGCAAGAAGAGTGAGAGCTCTATACTCAGCTTCGGTAGAAGATCTTACTATCATGATTTTCTTTTTTGTGGCCCAAGAGATGAGAGTAGATCCAATAAATACACAAAATCCGGTAGTGCATTTACGATCAATTTTTTTCACCGGCCCAATCAGCATTCGCAAATGTCAAAATAAATAACTTCCATATTTTATGGGTAAACCAAGATGTAGGGATCCTTTGATATATCTTCAAAAGCGTTTGAGCATTTTAAAATGTTGAAGCTGAGGATCATGCATGTTTTAGCATACCTGAATTTAACGAATATATGATATCCGGTCTAGTCAATGTTAAGTATTAGAGTGAGCCTACGATGTGTCTGTAAAACAAAGGATTAGAAAACGACCGTGCATTTGTAGGTTGCCAAGTAGTTTTGGATGTCAGTGGAGTGAGTAATGGCTTGCAATCTAACATGCCAACATGGTTGAGAAGGGTTGTGGAATACTTGCAAAAGATAAGCTGAGCTTGTGGATGCCACCTGTAGACCAAGTAAATTGGAAAGCTTTCCCAAGTTCTTTAACTATTAGGTGGACTGCAGATCAATGAGTAATTTATTTTGTAGAACAAGATTATTTCCCAATAAGAAGTATGCCATCTACATAAGTTAAGAGACAATGTAGGTTGTGTTGGTTGGCATAGATGAAAAAAGAGGAATATGCATCACTGGCTTTGAATCTCCATTTAATTAAATGATTAATGAATGTAGAAAATCATTGGTGATGGGATTGTTTCAACCCATATATAGCTTTGTTGAGTCTGCAGGTATTAAGAGAATAGTTAGGATCAGTGAATCCTAGTGGTTGTGCCATGAAAATAGTTTTGGTCAAAGTTTCATATAGGAAAGCATTTGATACATCAAGTTGACTTATTGGCCAATGATTAATGTGAGTTATGAGAATAAAAATCCGTATAGTTTGAATTTTTACATTTGGACTAAACGTCTCAGTGAAATCAAATCCATATGCTTGGTTATATCCTTTGGCTACTAAGCGGGCTTTATACCGAGCAATAGTGCCATCTTCATGTAGTTTCGTTTTGAATAGCCATTTGGATCCTAGGTCATTCTGATATACTGCAGGTGGTACTAAAGTCCATGTGCCTTAGGTTTGAAGGGCCTGAAACTCCTTGGACACAACTTTTCTCTAGTGCGGTGACTTCATAGTCGTAGTGATGTAGAACATATATGGGAGGGGGCAGGGCCGGCGGCATGGTCGGGTGCAAGTAGAGCTTGGGGTGGGGATTTAGAGCTTGCCTTATTAAGAACCTTAAATGAAGAAATATTGATTTAAATCAAAACATATTTAAAATTCAAATAGGTTTGGTTTAAGTAACTTTCCTAAAATAAAACAAGGTATATTAGGGAAAATTTTTCAAATTTCAAATTAAAGAAACAGATTTTATTGCTTTCCAATTGTGATTTGCATCCCATAAGGAAAGCATTAAGGAGTAATTCGAATTTTGGAGGCAAAGGAGAGGGGCCGGCCAAGCAAGAGGGGATTGGGGCCAAATTAGGAAAAGAAATTAAAGAGGGCATGGATATGGGGCCGAATAAGAGAGAGAGAGAGAGAGAGAGAGAGAGAGAGAGAGAGAGAGAGAGAGAGAGAGAGAGAGAGAGAGTGAGAGAGGGAGGGTGAATAGGGGTGTCTAGATTCAATGTATTTGATGCTATTTTGATTGGATTACATCAAGGATCAACCTTAAGTCTGTATCGTTTTGCTTTATTCATGGATGTTCTCACTAGACATTTGCAGGAGTATGTACCTTGGTGTATGATTTTTGCTGATGATATTCTTCTTGTTAATAAGACTAGAGATGGAGTTGAAGGTAAACATGAATTATGGAGGTCAACCTTATAGTCTAAAGGTTTTCACTTAAGTAGATCTAAAACTGAATATATGGAGTATAATTTTAGTAGTAATGGACCTAGTGAGGGGATTGTGACTTTGGGTGATCAAGTCATTAATAAGAGTAAATGTTTTATATATCTTGGGATCAGTTTTAGAATTGATTAATTAATTGAATGAAAGAAGTTTTCAAAATTAATATAATTAATGAAGATGTATTTGAAATTCAAAGTAGATAAATTTGATGAGTTTTCGTAGTTTATGTTCTGGCTTTGTTTTGTAGCCCGAGCGGCTATTGTACATGTTCTTTTGGACTGTGTATATGAAATGTTGAAATGTGAATTATAGTATTTTGATGTATCTGATTTCTTTAATGCAATTATCATTTCTGGATGTCTGTATTGGTCTGAGCGAGAAAAGAAAAAAAAAGAGGAAGAAAGTAAGACTGTCAGACGAATCCTTTCACTAAGGATGCCTGGGGCGTCACAGTGTAGGCCGATGGTGTGGAGGTGATGGCGTGAGAAGATCGGTGCCTTGGTGGAGGGCTTGAGGAGGTGGCAGTTTAGGAAAATAAGGAAAAACAAAACAAAGAAAAAAAAAAAGATAGGACCGCGAGCCTTGGACTCTTCCGAAGATTGACGGGTGATGCGTTGCCCTTCACCATGGAACTTCAAACCACGAGCCCGGACCCATCCGGTGGTTGGTGGAAACTACTATTCCCTCCATAGGGATTGTCAATAACATCCTCCCAACTCCCAAGGAACAAAAGGGCATAACAAAATTGTATTAAAATTTCATCAAGCCATTACGCTATCAAGGGCCTCTATATATAAGCCTTAGAAATAAAAGAAACTAAAAAAAGATTATGATGCCCCTAGGGCTTACATAAGATTAGACCCTTAAGTAAAAATGGAAAATACATAATTAAAATAAAAATTTAAGATAACGTAGGACGATCATTGCCGTCGATCTTCAACTCCTCCTCGGATAGGCATGGATGATTGATCATGTAAGTTGATGTTAATAGAGCATACACCAAAAACTGATATGGTAAGTGGAGAGATTATTGTGCAGACACCGGACACAGCTTACTGTCCAGAGGCAAATCAGGTGCATCCACGTCATCCAGTACCGAGAAGTACCGTGCTCGATACCGAGCAGTATCACGTCGCGGTACCGAATAGGAGGTGACATGATGCATTTTCATTGGACTCTGAACAATGTTCAGCATCCCCACAGAATAATTCATAATTGTTTGACAGGTGGGCTTCTAACAGTAAGGTACATGTGGTCTTCAACGCATCAGGCAGTTTACAAAATAGACCACATATGTGAACCAATGTATCAAATTAATAGCTCTGAAAAGCTGTAGCAAATGGTAGAAGAGTTGAGCAGCATTTTCTAGTAAGCTGAGAGTGACATATCTTCATTACAGGTGGTGGAATATACTTTATCATTATCAGTTTGATATTATTATTATTTTTTAAAGCATCTTTTTAGTACAAAATTTTCTTTATGCTAAAAAACTGCTTAAAAAAATAAAAAAGATGTCCGAAACGAAGCCATAATATAATTGATTTTGATGTGTTTTACAAAACTTTCTAAATCATTTTATATTTTATTTGGTGATGAGTTCATTATTCTTATGACACAAATCCTGCAGCAAATGAGTCAAGACTCAAGTTCGAGAGTTAATTTTTTAAAAAATATTTAAAACAAATATAATGTTTTATTTTTAAAAATAAAAATAAATAATCAAGTATGTTTTCCTCTTTTCAAACATTTTTTAGATTAAAAAGGAGGTACTTATCTAAACATGATCTTAAGAAATAGTTTATGTGAACCTAATTACAATTTCTCTTTCCCTTTGAAAGTGGGGGCTACATCGCCAAGAAGATAAAGCTCCTCTAATTTTACCTCAAACTAACTATTTAGATTTCGTTTGAGACAGCTTTCTTATTGCTTCGTAAATCAATTTTTTAGTACAAAAATTAAAAAATTTATAATAGAAAACTGTTTTAAGAAGCAAAAAAAAAGTGATCCCAAACGAAGCCTTAGCTTCATTTGGGATAGCTTTTTTACTGCTTCTTAAAACAAATTTCTAGTGCAAAATTTTTAATTTTTATAATAAAAAATTATTTTAAGAAGCAGTAAGAAAATCGTCACCAATAAAATCTTAATTTCATAATTATTAACTGCTGTACTTGAGATTACTCAGTTGTTTTCCTCTCCAGTATAATAACATCCACATCAAAAAGAAAAACACATTCCACTAAACATTTCAAAATGCAGAAAATTAAAACTTAAAACCAAAATTACAGGAAAAATTAGTTTTTGATAACAAATCATAGTCTACATGAAGAATTGATGCCTTTAGATTACACTATTATGCAACAATATTACAAATTTATGTGAATGAAAATTGCCAAACGCAAGAGGGAGGAAAGCTATTTCACTTTGAACAGCTACAAGAAAGAAAGCAGGAAGTCTTTAATCACAACATCTAAAGAACAGAAAAGAAAATCAAATTGAATGAAGAAAAGAGGAGAAAATGAGGCAAAGAAAACAGAAAAAGAGGGGAAAAATGAATATCTTGCAAGAGGACTTTCGGTTCAAGCTTAGAAGAGATCTCACGTTGACTGAGCTCTACGGCTATATGTAAGAACCATTATGAAGTCCTTTGCAGAGTTACCAACTGATGCCTTCACTCTCTGTGATGATCCATGGTTGAGCCACTGGTCTGTTAGCTCATGTAGAGATAATGTGGGATTAACAGGCTGCCCTCGGCAAGCAATTTCCACCTGCCATGTCAAGTTCTTCAAGTGTTAGCCACAAAAACACTAGAGGTCTTCAGTGGTAAGAAGAATGGAGGGTAGATAACAGAAGGATACAAATTGTTTAGGGTTGGCTAAAATTTTTAGCAGAATTTATATTCATGTTGCCTTTGATGTAAATATATATATATATTTTCATCTTAATCCTTTCAGGATAGGTTTATATGCTATGATTCTATCATCTTTCTAATATAAGCATCTTTCAATATTTCCTAATTTTAGGATGCATCGATCTAATCCTGCAACGTTCAACTTAGCTTTTTTGTGGATTTTTTTTTTAACTAAATTGAAATAAGATTAGCAATTTGCCTATGAGAAGTTGAGCATTCATAGCAATAGTAGAGTAAGAGAGTGGCGCACTACTGAACTTAGCTGTTAGGCCATCTCCAACCGAAAAACTCAATTTTCAATCCAAAATGCAATAATTTGTCTCCAATCGAACTCTATTTTCTACATCAAAAAAAGAATATTCCTAGTATATTCTTTGTCATACTTTATTTTATATATTAAATATTATTTTTCGAAAAAAAAAAATAACAGGTGAATAGTGCGACGCCATATTGGCGTCGCACTGTTCACCCGCAATCAAATAGTGGCTTTTTGGCTGATCGGATGGAGCGACGGAAGAACGCCATAAATTTGTATGGCTTTCGGCTGTAGATGCCCTTATATACAACTCACGGTTGAGAGCTTTGGCTACTAACCAAGAGGTTTTGGATTCGGAGCTTGCGTATATGAGTTTGCCTTAATGGCTCAAATGTCTCAAAAAAAAAAACCCCTCAGCTGTTATAAAAAACTATATATCTAAGGGCATGACGGTGAATGACACAGGGCAGGCTATAAAAAGTCACAGTCACATGGTTCATAAATACAGGCCTTTACACAGGGGATCCAAGTGAAGTTTTAGTTGGTTGCACTGGAGAGGATTTCAAGAAAGCTCCATAAATTATTAAGCCGCAATTTATATTGTTATATGATCAAAATAGTTCATAGATATTTTAAGCGTTCAATGTAATCCAAAATTTTATTAGGTGTTCAATTTAGTCCCTCAAATCATCAAATCCAAATCAATTTGATCCTACCATCAATTTTGTCATTTCATTGGATGAAAATAAGAGGAAAGCTTTTCATGTGGATATTTTTGAACCTTTTCAGATCAATCTCAGTACTTAATACCAGCTCAAACTAATCAGATTGACCCAAAAAGTCTAAAAAGTCATCATTAAAAAGCTTCAAATAGGTTCAAAGTTAGTTGAGGGCTAAATTTAATATAGAAGAAAATTTTGGACTAAAAAGAGCATGTTTTAAAAATCTAGAGACCACTTTGAAGGTGAGAGCACACTGAATGCTAATTAGCCTCAACAACTGAAAAGTAAACAAATGGCTTTATTACAACATCAGCATACCCTACAAAGTGGTCTATGATCAGCAAATCCAAACACAACAACTACCTCCATAGAGTTCATGCATGTTAAGAAAGTAATGAGGCAAATTAAGTGCTGAGATAAATTCACGCCAATGTTATTTTACCTCCTCCTCACTTGCAAGGTTAAGCTTCTTTACAAGGTATTTCTGGAGGGAAGAAACAGGTAGATTGCCTTCCCTGCATCTCAAGTATCATCACCCAATTAATGAGAAATGCATATTAAACTGAATAATATGGCCAAAAACTGAAAAAAACTGTTCACTGGAAATGATAATTCAAAGAGCTTACCTTTCTAACCAGTCATGCTAGAGTAAATTATTTAAATCAAACACATTTAAGGTGATAAATAGAACATTTGCCATATGAATTATTCCTAAACGTTTACAGGATGAAAACTACTGAATAGAAAGTTCATGGAGTCACAGATAAAGAGTAAAGCATGACAATTTTATGCCACCACAAAAAAGGAAGGTCATTTGAAGAATAATTATACTCTGCTAAAAAAGAAATCCTCATTTGAAACCTCAGAGTTTGTAGTCCACAGAAGATTTATATTTATTAGCTGCCATTATGTGAAAAAGCTCTCATCCAAGTGGTGATGACACAAAAAAAATTTGTCATGAATTATCAAACCAACTAAAAACGTCTAGCAGTAGATAATTCATAGTGCTTGCACAAAATTCAAGTGACATACAAGCAAAAAGAAAGAATTTTCAGTCATTCTCTCTCATTTTTTTTCTCTAAAATTTTGCTCTATTTTTACTATAAGCTAACCTCTGTGAAACGCGCCAGTATTTTATAGATATCTTTGATGAACGAATAGCTACCATAAGAATTCATCTTTGGAAAACACAATCAGAGGACAAACCCAGTGCTTTAACCAATGAACCAAGCACTTCTTACAAAGTGAAAAAGATCTCTTAGTTGAAGCATCAAACTTTGGACTCAGTGATTAGCAAGAGCCCAAAAAATAAATGTATTCGCTTGTTCTAATTCTAACAAATGATGTATATATATATAATCACCATAATGTTATATTTATTTATATAAGCATTAAACGGCAAATTCCAACTAATTTGACAAAGGAAAATCATGAAAAGGACACATAATAGTCCCATTAACAAAAATGCTATTTCTACTATTTCTGTTATGATTGGTTCCGCACCAGGTTTTGTTCAGTTCAGTACCCACTTTCAGAGCCAATGAATTACGTTGACTGTCCTGTTTAGAAAAAAGACAAGGCTGACCTGACAAGATTCCACAAAAAGTTATCGGTAAAGTTTTCAAGATCGTATGAGAAAAACACTAGGAGAGATGAAGAAAAAGATGGTCAAGCAAATCAATGTCTTAATAGCAGTATGTGGTTTGGAGAAAATTTGGAGTCCATTGAACCTTTTTAAGCCAACACCAAATAGTTATTATAATGATAATAGTATCACTTGAACATGAGTTCTTATCTTTGTAAACAAGTTAGAAAACAGAGTAATTCTATTTTAGATGGTTACTAACAAGAAAGCCATTCTTACAAGACACAGAATTAGGAAAAAAATATTCTCCTGGTGGAAAAGAGAACCACAGCTCTCCTAATCTAATTAGATCAACTTAAAATTGAAATATATTCAAAACCCAACAACTTCCATAAATTACAAAGAAAACAGGAAAATCCCAAAATGATCCCCAAACTATTCTTGTGTGGCTAGTTTAGTCTTAGAGTACCACATTACTCCAATTTAGTCCCTAAACTTATACAAAAGTGATCCAAAAAGGTCTCTCATGTTGCAATTGTGATAAGAAATTGATCCAAATTTAGCTTCAAAGCGACCATTTTGGATTAATTTTGTATGCGCAAGAGATTAAATTGGACCAACTTGATACTTTGAGATTAAATTGGTCATATACGAATAGTTTGGGAATTTTGAAGTTTATCCCACCAAGAAAATTAAGTGACAATAAAAAAGTTAAAAATAGAAGATTAATAAAAATATGAGTATTATCACACATTAAAGCCAAATATACAGTTCGAGGTATGGTTCGGAAACAAAGGTAGACAACTACTTTTTTTAGTGGATAAAGTCACTTCTCTGCACAATTTCACCGCACTCCCTTTTAGTCATTTAAAAAACATGAGAAAAGGACCAAAATGACATCCCAACTTTCACTCCTTAAAACAAGCCCTATATGGTCCTCAAGTTAACTTTTTAACAACATATTTGGATCTACCGAAAGCACCGCAGGGTATAATTGAAAAAAAAAAAAAACCTTTTCATTATACGCAACAGCAAATTTTTCGAATACTCCCGTAGCATTGAAACCCTTGCTAGATATGACTCCCACGTTTCGTAGTGGAGCAAAGCAGCAGCTTTGACACAGGGTCCCGTAGCGCACGTCGAATGCCGTTTGAAGTCTTGCACACTAATCAAATGCCACTATCGCAGCCCTACTGAGCCATGGATCGAGCACTGAGTGTTGATAGCGTCGAACAACAGGTCTCGTATTCTAGAGAGCTTCATTCGATCGGGATCGTCGATTGCAACACTTCCATTAACATCACAGGTCCAGCACATTATACTATTTCATGGCTTTGCTGGTTTTGACTTCATTCAATTTTGATTATTCCTTTCACTGCAGAAATTTTGTCATGGATTGGTCGTTGTTCACCGCACCTACCTCGTCCACAACTCCAGAGCAATGAGTTGCACAATCGAATACTATAGAACAAAGAGGGAGATGTATAATTTTTTTTAAACTTTATTTTATAGATTGATAATTTTCTTTCTTCGCATTTATTAACTTTAAAATTTTTTATCAAAACTAGTGAAATTAATTAAATTAAAATTATTTATAATTTTTTATTAAGGAAAGTTTAATAATTTTTTTTACAAAATTTACAATCCTTAAAAAATTATAATTATAAAATATTTTAATTAAAAATGACCAAATTGCCCTCATACTTAACATCGTCAACTTTACCTATCTACCATTAGATGGCAGGACCACCTTTTAAGGAGTTGAGGAACCAAATTATTCCCTCAAAAGAGTTGTGAATCATTTTGGTCCCTCACAAAGAGTTGAGGGACCATTTTGATCATTTTCTCTTAAAAAATATAACAAATCATCCATCCATTTTGTTTTTCACAATGAAAAATAGCAAGAGACAAACTCTTATAACAATTACAAATAATAAGCTAACCAAGTTTTACTTAAGAGCACCAAAATGGAAATTCTAAATTCTAGAAAAAGCATAACTAATCAAATAAAATGAAAATCAGCGCGCATCAAGGCATAAATTTTACATCAATTTCAATGCTTTGGAAAAAAGGGAGAAACTTTGCTTTATGAACGGATGGTATTCTATGCAGTGTACTTGTTTTATTATCTATGATTAGAGATAAATCAAATTATAGAAGTCAAAAATAAAATAATGCTAACTATATGTGGTTCACAATTAATTCGGACATATCATGATTAAAAATACGGAGAAATGTCCTACCCTAGAATAACTTGTTTCCACAAAGAGTTTATCACTTTTAGTGAGCTCATTTTTAAGTGATTCTAACTATTCGTCACTTGAACATTCCATTTTGAAAATAAATTAGAAAATAGCTCCCGACATTGAACCGACGGATATCAAGGAGATCTCACCAAACTAGAATAAAAGGTGATAAAAAAGCTATATTGGGTGCAATTCCTAGAGGGAACATTCTCTACAAAAAGCTTCTATAATTAATTTTCAAATCTTGCCACATGGGCAGTTCTGGACAATCTCTAATATTTTTTGATAATTGCTCCTTCTCAAGCCTCCACAAGAGCTTCCATGGAAGCTTTTGGAGCATTGTTCATAGTTTTTATATTGTAGGGAATTCTTAATAGGAAAATTTTCACGGCTAAAGTTTGCCACCATTTTTGCCATTTAGTTTAACCAACATGAGACATTTTTGCAAGAGAGCCAACCAGAAAAATGCCCCAGCTGGATTCGCTTCAACCTCTGGTTCCTACCAGAAAAATGCCCCAGCTGGATTTCTACCCCTGGTTCCTAGAAAGTTCGTCTGTTCTCCCAAAACGATTGGCCCGCTGATCTGTCATTGCCGATGCTGTGGTTGTTTTGGTAGCTGGGTTGGCCAGCGGTCAATTTAGGAGAGTTGGTGGGTGATAAATAGGGCGGGTCTTGTGAGTTTTAGCACAATTAAAAAGCTAAGAATTAGATAGTGGATGATGCAATAAAAAATTTGGGAGAGGGACCCAAATTTTTGATCGAAGACTCTTTCTAGGATCTAGAAAATATCAAGAACTCATAAAAATTAGAAAAATTAAAACAAACACAAACTTTTTATATTATATAAAAGGACTTACAAACTTGACTCAAACAAACTTTTGACATAACATTAAAGATGCTTACAAGACACTTAGAAACACAAACACCCTACAAACGACTCAAACAAGACACCCTATAGTTGCTTCACTTAGAGAAGAAAGATACAGGTGGAGTGGCACTTGCGGAAAGACGAAAGAGATTAGAAGCCAAGACGAAGGGTGGAGAAGAACTCGCAAGTCTCCCCAAGAGATAGAAGAAGAGAGGTTGGACAAAGCTCGCAAGCTTTCCCAAACAACAAACCCTCAGGTTTCTTTCCAAAAATAACTCACATAACCCATTCTAAAACAGCCACAAAACATCTACTTATATGCACAAAGAGGAGCCCAACAGCCACTTAAAAGTTCATTAACTAAGGGGAAGAGGAAGCAACAAGCTGTCCAAATTCTGTCAAAAAACAGCCCCAAAATATTAGTATTTATCACAAAAACTTCAGCAGAAACAGCAGCCAGAAAACCCATCCACCCTAAACCCTAAACCCTAAACCCTATTTTTTTTAACCCTAAACCCTAAACCCTAAATAGCAGCACAAAAACCCTTCAAATACTCAAATAAATGAGGGAAATGAAAGACCAACAGCCCCTTTACTAAAATCCCAAACGGCACAACAAAAAACAGAGGAGGCCACGGTTCCAGCAGGTAAGTCACGGATCCCAACAACCAAGCACAGGGATCAAACAGACATATACACTTTTCGGTAAAAAGGGGACCACGGGCAATAAATTAGGCAGCAAACCGAAGGGTCAGCAGGGAACCAAAGCAAACCGTGGGAGGAAAATCAGCAGAGAACCACAGCAGCCCAAGAGACATCAAGAAGATGAAAGGTCAAGTTCCACTCACCAAATCTTGCTCCATTTTTCTTTAATTTCAAAGCTAAACATCAGCTCATAATGAGCTACACCTCCACTTGATATTAATGAGCTGACACCACTAGAATTCCAACAACCAAAGACCAAACCGAAAATAGCCAAGGCCCACCCGAAATCAGCAAACAGCCCAAAGGACAAGATGGAGAGGAAAAGGCAAGTGAAATTACAGAGAAATGAGAAAAATAAGGGGGGAAGGAGAAAAGCCAAGATTAAAAATTAATGAGCTAATTTTTAGTTCAATAAATGAACTAAAAATCAGCTCATAATGAGCTAAATTTCCACTTGACATTAATGAGCTAGAGAAGTCAAAAATCAAATATTAGGATTTGATTTGACCCCCCCCCCTGCCTACATCAGTGGAGCCCTCAGATTACTCGATTTTTTATAATTTTTTTAAAAATGTAATGTGTTGGCTGATTCAATATGAAGAATGAAGCTCTTGTTTTTATTTTGAAAAAAAAAAGATAACTCACTTCACTTACGAACTAAATTAATATGATATATGAATATTTCGATCGACTAATTATTTTAATTAATTTTGAAGCCAACGATTAGGATAAATTGCAATTTTGATATATTATTTTAGACCATATTTTCTCAAGATAAATGATGTTTATAGACCTTTAATCATAAATACAAATCAATTTATTTAGTGAATTATAAATTGCAGCTTTTTTTTTTTAAATGTATGAGTTCTATTGGTTTGCATATGGTTCTAGAGTATGGTCATATTATTAAACATTTTAATTAAATTTCATGAAATTATAACATCTATGATGCAGATGATATATTACTAAACCTTTAAATTTAAAAGATTTTAAGTCACTAAAACAGAAAAACTATGTATCAAAATATGTTAGCTATATTAGTTAAGCATTACAGACAAAAACAATGCTAATGTAAGACATAATGCAGAACAACTAGAGTTTTATATTCATACTATTGGTTTGACCTACTGAGTTTTATATTCATACTATTTAAAAGTATTTCAGGCAAAAATAAAGATCCCGTTGAGTAGATTGGGTCTGGTAAGGAGTAGTAAATTTGATTTTTGTAAGGTACTTATGATTTTATAGTTAAAATTTTATTTAAGTATTTTGTTGCAATTATTGCATTATGAACTGTTGTCATGAATATTGGGAAGATATATTCTGTATGTATATTCTGGATATATGTTGTATCTTGTCTTAGATGATTAGATGGGTTTGGCAAAATGAAAATTTGAATTGCGGTTAATAGATTAGTGGAAAAAGAAGATTAAATTCCTCATTTAGGTCTTGGGGAGTTACATGTAGTGCCCGAATTGATACTCCAATCAATTTTGAGTTTGGAATTTAGTTGCTTCTAGACCCCTTCTTGATTCAGCAACCTTCCTTGCGGATTTTTCCTAGCTCGTTGCTGTTTTTCAACTTTCAAAGCGAGATTAGCAACAGCTTGAAATGTGCAAAAGGGTTGTAATTATACAACAATGACATAGCAAGTGGCAAACCTCTCAAGAACCTAGCTATGTCATTCTCAGCTGGTTCCACCAAATCACATTTAAGGGACAATTGTTCAAATTCAGCTACATACTCTACCACTGTGAGTTGGTTCTACTGGAACCAATGCAGCTTAAAAAATAGTTCCTGGAGATATTGATCGGGTAAGTCCTTCCGTAGCAATTCTTTCTTCATTTTGGGCCACCTGTGAAATTGCTTTGGCCTTTTTGATTACTTGCACATTTCAGATTTTCCCAACAAAATGATACACTTTTCTTCAACTTGATAGCCACAAGTTGGACTATTCAATCAGGACTTGCTTGAATTCAAGAACTCGTTCTGCAGCGTGAAGCAAATTCACAAATTCATCAAGATCTAGTCTCCCATCAAAATCAGATAGATAAATTTTGATCCCCCCATCATCCCATAGCCCGTCATACACGGCCCTGGGTCATCCCCCTAAATCCTTGTCACTCAAAAGATCTTGATGGAAGGGATTAATGTCTTCTTCCTCCTCTTGACGTTCCATAGATTCTCTCTGTTCAAATCTTAATAATCTTTGTTATAGCTACTATATTTCTCTCTATAGTATCTTCAATCACCAGTTCTTGCACTAGTCATTACGAATTCTGGTAAAGCGGCATCTTGCTAGCTTTGATACCAATACTGACCCATCTCAAGGAATTGGAGGAGTAACCAGGATAACTATAGGGTATCCACAACGTCCACACCTGATGCAACTCTACTCTAGAAATTCACCACCAGGAATCTCAAGGTTTCAGGATACAGAACAATGACAGAAAAAACCCAATTGGCTATCTAACTCCAGAAAAATTTCCATCATTAATCTGCAAATGCAATATTTCTACTCAAAGTCATGCCAAAGGAAGGCTATCCGAATTAACTAACTATACCGAAAATCAAATGGCTACCAAACACAGATGTTTCAACCAAAACAGAGCTATACTAGTTGAACATAGAAAACAAAACAAACAAAAACTGATATGACCGATTAGCTCCTGCATCACATTTAAGCACTCTTTCCCTTCAAAAAAAAAAAACTCTATCCATGCATCATAAATGAAAGCTAAGAGAAAAAAATTTATATCTGGACGAATATGAAAAAGCATAAAAACAAGTCAAAAGAATTATATTCATTAGGAATAATAATGGAGGAAGCAAACTCACTTAATTCTTAGGTAGGATGCTGATATCTGAGGCAAAGGAGAATCTCCATTTCTGCAATGATTTTGTTAAAATACAGAAAATGACATTAAAGAAATAGCTCATAACATTTGAACGGTGCAGCTGCTTTAAGAGTTCAGTTTCTCACTGGTCAGCTGACGAAAGTAATGAAAGCCAGACTGGGCAGATCCTTCTTTCACGTGCAGCATCTGCAACATCCAGCACTGCTTGAGCTGAAGGCCCTTGCTCCTTCCTTTTCCGACTTACACCTTGCATTCTTCTCGCTTTGGCCATTGCTGATGAAGCTGGAACATAGTTATTCTTTTCATCTTTCATTTTTAATTTACTAGGGTGCTCCCGAACCTTTGTCCTGTACATATGACTTTCATTGTCAGGGCCATTTGTTTGCTCTGCCTTCACAGCAGGAGTTTGTGGACCGGACTTGAGACTCTTTGTCCTATTGGCAACTTCAACAAGACAGTTCAAAGGCTTCCACAGCTCAGATTTATAGCTTTCTGGACTGTTCTCGGTATCTTGATTAAGTGTAAGATTTGATGTTTCTGCATTTGATGAAGTCTGCAAAGTTGTCAAGTCAAAAGCCATATAAATCCTTAAATACTATAAATTACATATAAAAAGTTATAGCAACTGATAGGAAATACTCGAGTTCGCAAGCAACCCTAAGGGAATACTTGAGTTCGCAAGCAAACCTATCACTAATAGGAGAAAAACAGCGAGAAAAGAGCAAAATATGGGCGAAATCAGCCCCAAAACGATAGATTGCAATAAGGGAAGCAAAACAAAAACAATACGAAAGCAAGATACAAGTGATCCTCAATTCGAGAGGAGGATCGTCTCTCCAAAATCTCTAAACAAGAGAGTCTAGAGCCCAAACGCCAA